GCCTTCCGGAAGTAGATGCAATTAGGAATCATTGGTTAAGATTTATTTACAACAGAACAGCACAACCCAGATGTTCAAATTTGTGCAACACATTTTATGGACGCCATGCACAAAGGCTATTTCTAAAAAAAAAAAATTGGGTCAATTCCGACTTTAAGACAATCTGGCACTTCTGAATCAGCGACTGTAAGTATGTTTTGTTATTGGTTTAAGTATTTGCTATTGACTGTTCAAATGCTGTTTTAACGCGTCGTGTGTGTGTGTGAGGGGAACAGGGTCACATCACAGGATAAATATACATATATTTCTAAATAAATACTACTGTTAGACATGTGCCATCTGAAATAAAGCAGAAGAAAAACAGAGACACTTTGACTTAAATACAGATGACACTTTGACTGTTAGTTTGATTATATGGAGATAACTGGACTGTAAGTATTACACTACTCACTTGATACCACGGTTGTAATTTGTAACTTGTAATGGAGTAATTTTGTAAGATATTGTATTGTCATTCATGCATCTTGGTGAATGCCAAATTTATATTATTTATAATTTGATGTGCAGATTTACTTAATATGAACTTGTGCTTGCTTTCTGGTTGCAATAAAAAAATGAGTGTACACACCTCAGGACGTTTCACTTTTTCTTTCTTTCTTTTTTAATCTTCATTGAAGTCCTTTATTCGGTACATATCGCATTTAATTTGTATCAGAACTGCAAATCCATTGCTCATCCTATTATTTCTTTCCACATTTTTAAAATAAAAAGCAAGTCATCAAAATATGAAACAACACAAATTAAAGTCTGGGAATTATATAGTGACCAAAAACACAAGGTAATGTGAAAAATCCTTTAGATATTAAAATCATTGCCAAATAGCCATAATGAAATAAATGGTAATGTTATAATAAACTGTTATCACACCAGAGAATACAATGCCATGTCATAATGTTTCAATCTGCGTTCTAGGAAAAAACTCTAAAGTTGCTTAGGAAAGAAGATAAAGGTTGAAAACACGTGACGACAACCTGACATCAGAAATAATAAAGCTGCACTCACGCCCTGTCGAAATTACCGAAGGTTCAAGATGACAACACTTGACGAGTTCTCGGTGGGACTCGGAATTATGCATTTCTATGGCAACACTATCAACTCCTAAACAGTAGCGCTAGAAATGAACGCAGCAGAATCTCGTTGAGTACTGCGAAACTTGGCCAATGTTTTTTCTTTGTAGAGGAGCTAAAGCCACGCCTACTTGTCAAAAAGTATAAGAGACAGAAAAACTAACGGGCAATTATTTTCCTCGATAACTGAACGATGGCCAACAACAACGGGAATATACTGGATAATCGCACCGATGAGAACATAGCCTGCGTGACGGAAAATGACGACACTCAGTCGGTATGATATAACATTTTTATTCTTTGTAAACATCAGAGGGTTTGTTTGATGGTGCCAATAACAGTAACTTAAAGCGCGTCGGCATCGAAAAACTGTAAAAGATGTCGGAACACCTCTAAAAAGAGTTGAACAATAAGATATGCTCATTTTGCTGGTGACTTTTAAATATGCTGTTCAAAAGTTTGGGATCAGTAAGATTTGTAATGTTTTTTTTTTTTAAAGAAGTCTCTTCTGCTAATCAAGGCTGCATTTATTTGATCTGAAATACAGAAAAATCTGTAATACTGTGAAATATTATTGCAATTTAAAATAATGGTTTTATATTTTAATATAGCCTACTTTAAAATATAATTTATTGCTGTGATCAAAGCTGAATTTTCAGCATCATTACTCCAGTCCTCAGTGTCACATGATCCTTCAGAAATCATTCTAATATGCTGATTTAATATCAATATTGGCAAGAGTTTTGCTGCTTCATATTTTTTTGTAACCTGTGATAATTCTTTCAGGATTCTTTGATGAATAAAACGTTAAAAAGAACATAATTTATTCAAAATAGAAATCTTTTGTAACAATATACACTACTGTTCAAAAGTTTGGGGTCAGTCTTTTTTTTTCTTTCTTTTTTGAAAGAAATGAATGCTTTAATTCAACAAGGATGTGTTAAATTGATAAAAAGTAATAATAATCTATTCTAATATTTAATATATTCTAATATATTGTTAGAAAAGATTTCTATTTTAAATAAACACTGTTCTTTTTAACTTTATTCATCAAATAATCCTAATAACAGGTTCCAAAAAATATTAAGCAGCAAAACTGTTTACAACATTGATAATAAATCAGCATATTAGAATGATTTCTGAAGGATCATGTGGCAATGAAGATTG